TCATTATTAACTTTAACCAGTGCTGTCTCTGTGCTGTGATGAACTCTAAATCCTCAAATAAGCTATTGCTATGTAGAAAGTCACACAACTGTTTGGCGACTACTTTCTCCAGAATTTTAGAAAGGAAGGGGAGGCTAGAAATGGGTCGATAGATCTATAGAAATGCCATCTTTTGTTTATTATGGGAACCAGTAATTGTACATCTGGACCTACTTATGCTTCATGTAATCATTGTTTTTATATTGGGGACTTATGGATTGATGATGGCCATGTGCTGCTCATGTGCTGCAAAAGCTTTATGTTTAATAGGCACACAGTCCTGACTACTTAAATAGTTAATATGGCTATGTAAGCAAACAATTATCGATACAAATCCAGCAGACATAGAGCAGCATTACCATCTGATTTAAAGTCCTGTGTTTGAGATTAATCTAAATCCAATGTTCACTCTCCATTTGGCTCCAGTTTGGTCTCCACAACCTATTAAGAAAAATATCTGGCACTTTAGCTGCAGGATATTCCACCAGCTAGTTGCAGGTTATGCAGGGTGGGTTTATCAGAGCTTATTTAACTGAAAGCAGCTGCCTGCTGCTGCTGGAAACAAGGTTGAAGAGAGCACTGAGTCTGAACCGGACAGTAAATGTGCCGTAAAAACCGAAACTGTGAGTGAAAAAAGCTGCAGAGTTGCTGGTAATTCTATATTGGTTCATCGCCGCGAGTGACCCCACTCGCATTACGCATAGGCTTTTGATTCATTGTTGATATACAAGAAATTGATTATTGGAGCATTAAGTAAATTAAATATTATCCAAAACCATAGCCTACATGTAACCAAAAATAATTTAATCAATAAGTGCACTTTTGATTTTGTCGTAGCACCCAATAGCATTAGCATAATCCACAAGCTAAATCCTTAAATTTCCTCGCCCCAGCTGTTGATGTTTCGAAATTCAGCTAAACACAGCTGTGTTGAGTTTCAGGAACATCAACAGTGATCTGGGAGGAAATTTGGGGATTTGGAGCACCAACAAAGTCATAAAACTGTGTTGGCTCAATGATGCAACAGTGTTCACACTCACCTTGTGATACAGCGAGTATCAGATATGTAACTGTCGCAATCAATATCTCAAGTTGGGGCCTTGTGATTCCCTTCATCACACTGCAGCAGGGCAATATCTTGCCTGAGAGGAGTCTATCTTTCGGTTTGAGGATTATCGTCTTTCTGGCTCGCTGGATGTTTTTGTGAGCCCTTGGGGAGCACAGATGCAAATCTTGGCTTTGTTTTCCAAAAAGCACCGCTCGGCTCCAAAGAATATCTTTGTGTCTTTAAAGCCTTCAGAGTGAGATAAAGTTATAAATCAAGAAGACAGTTTGGGGAATTAGGCCTCTGCTGTGTCAGTCTGGTTTTAATGTTCCTGTCATATCTGTCTCTGAATCAGCTCAAATGCATCCAGGCAAAGAGGTTTGTGTCTGATTTAAATACATTCTTTCCCAGCTCAAGTAATTATTGTCCATGTTCACTGATTGATCTCTGCAATAGATGAACACACTGGATACCAAGAGTCACTGCAGGCATTCTGATCTTTTACTATTTCTGGCTGCTGATGATAGATAATATTTGAGCAGTATACTGTACCAGACCTTGCTCTAATGGATTTAGTGAGGACACTTTTATGGCATCTCTAAATTATCTCAGTTAATTTTCCAGTAGAAATGAACATTTAGCTATTAGCTATTATTCCCTGTGGTTACTGTTTCTCATAACAACTCTGTACGTGTGTGTACATGAGAGAGACTTTGTGTGATCAACATATTTCTGTTGACTGGGTAACAAAATTGGATTTTTGGCATTACTGTTGTACTTACCCAGCCTTGAAAAATGAAATATGTTTGAGTATCCCAGAAAAACCCAAGGACTTTAAGAGTTTCTTGAATAAATAGCCATAAAATGAAAGAAACTGTTGCTGCAGGTAACAGGCAGGCATGCTGGAAAGACTTTCACCTGGAGAAAGGACATGCATATGGCTTGCTGAAGTGCTTTTGAGCTAGACCCTCAATCTGTAGCACTTCCAGGGATGGTGAGATGATTTTGTTTTCTGCCCTGGATAATATTTTGCTTTTCAAAATGCATCAAACATCCCCATTGACATATAACACAAATAAAAAGCATTTAATTGCAGAAGACTTAAACTGCAAGATCGATTGGAGAATGATTATCTGTCACCAATGTATTCTCAGGACCACGACTGTAATACAAATCCTATATAATCATCATATTGTCCTAATAAAAAGCAACACGCCTCTTTATTGTTACTTTTTATGTTTTTTTTAATTAATAGAAATGCTGTTGGTTAATTTGGTTCAGTGTTTTGTAGGTGTAGAGGTAGGTTTAAAGTTAAGTTTCTTGTACCCATTTTAGTCAATGTAATACTTGATTTTGGTATAATGCCAAATACCACCCCCAAATACCACATTCTTAAGGGAATGTGGGGATTTTGTGTTGGTATTGGGCAACAATATCAATATCAATATCAACAAATTAGCTAATTGTAGATTAATGGTAAATAATTTTGGTTTTAAAGGACCAATGTGTATGATTCAGTGACATCTAGTGGTGAAGTTGCAGACTGCAACCATGTGAATACAGCTACTGTAGAAGAGGAGGGAACAAAAACACAAAGATTCTTATTTTCAGGTGATCTATCTATCTATCTATCTATCTATCTATCTATCTATCTATCTAATGTCTAATCAGATCAAGCTCCTGTTGCACTCCTTTTTCTATTGACTGCACAATAATAAAATATATAGCCTGATCATAATAAATCATCCTTTAATTCGTACTTTCCTCTTTATATGTTGAGTCTTGAACATCTGCTAAATGCTTCAGTGTACACTACCAATAGGAAAACGCACAGAGAGCATGCTGCAGACGAATGTCCCTGTCTTTGTCTCTGCACAGTGTCCGTGCCTGCTGCACGCCTTTGACGTTTAAATGGAACTGGCCCTTTAATCGTGTGGCCGTACTGCTCATGCTCGGGGCTTTGTGCAGGAGTTTCCCAGTCAGAGACCAGCTGTGGACCGGAGAGCGATAGCGGACGGAGCAGAGAGAAGCGGCGCTCCGGGAGAGCTGACTCTGTCGCATCTTCTGATAACAAACCCGGGCAGAGGGCACGTCTTTGTCTTGGAGCACATCCAGCAGGAGAGCAGCTCACACCGATCATCTGAGCTCTGTGGGTCTATTTCATCTCGGGGATTACAGTGTTTGACGTTGAGGCAGTATCATCCGGCCACGGTTCGTGTGTTTACATCGGAACCTTGACCACGGTGGAAGTTATCTGGAGGACTTGTGCGGACGCGCAGCAGAGCGTGGGTTTCTCTGTTTGTGTAACTCGGAACGGATGGGTCGGATTGGAGTTGCGTTTGCAGTGTTTTTAAAGGTTCAAGTGTTTCCATCAAAGTTTCACGCCTTTGTCCTGTCCCGCAGCTTTTTCCACACCGCTCGGCATGTTCTGACAGTGCGTAATTGCTGTTTTCCTGCGCCCTTTCCACAGGCGTCACAGGTAGGCTACCTGAGCTTACCGACACCGCTGCTGATGACAACGGATCACCTCGCAGCGTAACGTGACAGTTCGTTTTCTGGTTCGGGGCTGCAGCCTCTCAAAAACGCACTCCGCGTCCATCATGGATGATGTGGGGGGGATCCATCTATGCACCTGGATGAAGTCGCCCAAAAGGAGCGCCCGGGACGTTTTGAAAACATACCTGGGGGTATTTGTGATGCTTCATCTCGTGCTCCACACTGAAGCCTCCTCTGTGTCCAAATCCTGCGATAAAAACTGTTTTTCAGGGAAGTGCATCAACGGGACCTGCGTGTGTGACCATGGATGGGTCGGAGATCAGTGCCAGCACTGCCAGGGAAGATTTAAGTAAGTTGGTCCTTTATGTGAATTTACAGTTCAAATCCTACCTGTAATGCTGTTATGTGTATCCCTGTTGTGCTCAAAAGTCCAAAACTGACATTAGGTTGTTTGAACCAGTGGTCCCTGTAAGCTGTGTGGATGGCAGGTTGGTTATCCAGTGTAGCCTATAATATCAGTTATCTCCCTGCTACTTTGGGTTACGTGTTTGACTGGGTTCAGTGAGTAAGACTAAATGATTAGTATCTGTGTCTTTGTTGTAGTGCAGTCCTTTGGATGTTACCTGGCTCTGTTGCCAGAATGTATGAGGGGCAATTAATGCCACAGCAAAACAAAGATCAAGCACCTTGAAGTTCTGTAGTCTCTTTTGCTGGCTGATTTATTATTTAAAAATTGCCAAAGCTTACTTTTTTTTGTCTGGGTGTGTCAAAAGCTAAAATTTCCAGAATGGGAGAGCACATATTCACACATGAGTAGGTCCTGCCTGTGCGAGCAACTGCACAGGTTCAACTGGTTCAATTCAAATATGAGTGCAAAACACTTTTCTAAATATGACAACATGTAATTTTAATGCCCAGACAACAGCGTGCTGCTCAGGAGGAACGGAGCAGAGAGACTGCCTCTCTCACTGTCACTTTAGAGTATACACACAGTCTTAAAAAGCCTGCCTTGGCTGCCATCTAGCAGTTGCTCTTTAAAAATAAATCAGGATTCAGAAACTGAATGGCTTGCCTCTGATATGAATATGTTTTGCCAGTTTGGAAACCAGGTACAGGCTGAACATAAAAACACTTTGGCAGAGAAGTACTGCAATATTTTCCATTGGCATCCTCTGCTTGCCTCTGCTAAAATACGCACGGAAAGGAATTCAAGCTTAAATTAGATTTTTAGAAGTAGCATGTAACAATAGCAGTAAAATAGGATTAGCTTTGTTAGCTGTGCCTGAGGCATTCTTTTAAAAATTCAAAGGAAAGTCAATGATGCAGATACTGAAATTTCACTTTGTACATAGCTGTGATGGGTGACCAGTGCCTCCTCTCTAATTTTGATGCTGTGTTTATTAGACAGTTGACTAAACATAGTCAATAACATTTTAAAATCCTTAATGGAAGCATTTGTACTCATCATCCTAAATACAGACCCATACAGACACTTCACAAGTACTGCCAGATTGGACACCCAGCCTATGTACAGATACTTTTATCAGACCTGTCATATCTCTCACTTATCAGAATTATCTCCATTAGGTGTCATATTGGCCCAGATATTTTTTTTTCTAGAAACGTTTAAAAAGGGGAACGTCATATTATGTTTGAGGATGAGACATTGCACAACAGCAAATATGCTTTTGGTCACACGCACAGACTCCTGTTGTGTTGTATGATGAGTTATTTGTAACTTTAATGTTTAGGGCTGAGTCTTGATGCTTTTATTTTACAGACCAAATTGCTTAGATACTGGTGATCTTGTTGGCCTACTGCACAGGGGCCTTCCCAGACGTATATGACTGGGGTGGCACAAGAGGGGCACCGACTTATGCAGGGGTGGCATGAAGTATCTGTCTCAGCTTTCCAGTCATTCCAAACAACAATGCATTTTCATTCAGATGTCTTATTGTAGTCAAGGGGCCCCTTTGAAAAGCAACACCAGTTTTTCCATCACCCAAATTTTGCTTAATTTAGCGTTATTTAGCCCCCTTTCTGACATGCTAGCATGACATACTGTAGTTAAATAGGTAACAATGGATGCATTAGGTCATCTAGTTTTATATTATACCAGTATTTTCACTCTAGCTTTAAAACAGAGCCCTCTACAACGTCTGATAGATTATTTTGTTACAGTTATTTGTATTTTTTATATAGTCCAGTTGTAGGAGCCATTACGTAGGGCTGTATATTTATGTCTGTTTATATTGGTGCCTATATCCGGTTTACCACGGGTGGTAGCGTACAGCTACAGTGAGCTACAGTAATAAGTGTTCATTTAGACTTGTTTAACCTAAGGGAATTCCTGATGGAACAAGTATTCCATGTTTAAATTAAAATTGGTTCAAACGCGTTGAAGCTGTTTGGAAAAGGGAGTGTGTGTCTTATAATCAGGGCAAAATGGTACATACTGCATGTAGTCAATTTTGATAGGCTGAGCAGCTCAAATAATCTGCTCTCCCTCCCTTCTCCTTCCTCCCTGACATTATTCACCCCTCATACCCTCCAGAGAGGATGACGTTACCTTGTCACTATCACCTACAGCCTGGTCTGCACAAGTAAAGACAGAGAGATGGCAGGACTTCAGTCTTATATTTTTCTCTCTGGAGGATTGTATCGATTTCTCAGTCGATGTGATTGTTGTGAGGGTGGCGAACACAACAGGCTACAGGCTGGACAACAGACAAACAATACGGCAGGGACAAGCTTTTCTTCTTATGGCTGCCTAGTGGCATAATAGTGGCAATTAATACTGAGTAGTTGCCACATGCACACACTGAGATTCGGCACAGTTTTCTCATCAAGGTAGAATAGATGTAGAGTTCTGACCAAACATGCTGTAAGCCTAAAATCTATATATGGACACATTTTATTGTTTGCAGTATAATCCTCTTGAGATGCATCTGCTCTTTCTCAAAGGCAAGACATTTCACTGGTTATTATATACCACGGACAGTGCATGAACAAAGATGGAAGAACATGGTGAGAGAAAAAGAAAAAAACTGAAACCATCCAAAACAACACTTAATTCTAGATATTACATTTTTTGTTTACTCCACTGTGTCTCCCAAGTCAATGTGGGGTTGACCTGGGCACTGATTTTGGCAGCCCACCCAATAATTCCCATTAACAATCAGGTATTGTGACTTCTTCAAATGTCTGTTCCTGTGTTAATCAGGATCATCAACAAGTAGCAGCCTCACTGGTTTTTGATATGTGTTCATTTTCCTTATGAAGATAGACTGACAGGGCTTGAGGCAAGTTCAGGTTAAAACAGTCAAGTCAATTGAGGATATTCACGATTATCCTAATTCATGATTATCACAATAATGGAAAATCACCAGTTCCAGAGTGTTATTTTATCACAATACGTGATAATATCGTATATCGTCCCTTGCCTAGTAATAAACCAGAAAGTTCTGATTTATAATGGCCTGGACACACTTCCCATGTCTGCAGTGCGTATGTACCATGGAGCGTTTTGCTTTTTTCATTTCTGCACCCATGTTAACAGGTTAGAGCAGCCACACTGCCTATCTGTGTGCCACGTTTCTTCACTAGAGAATCAAGGTCTTGCTTATTTTTTCCATGAGTGGTTTCCAGCAAAAACAGACAGTGAGAATGATCTGTTTATAGTCATATCGACATTATACCAGCATAATGTACACATTTTACTACAGATTGTATGTCTGTAGAATATGTCACGGACATAACTCAACACCTCCAGATTAAAAGCTCTCAAGCGTTCCTGTGAACATAATCCATTCATTGTATTGTATTTATCAAAAGCAAACTAAATTTAGAAATATAGGAATGGGAGCAGCAGAGCTGCGGCAGAAGCGCTCTCTGTGTGGACACCACAGCCGTGCAGCGAGGCAGCCATCATGCACTGCTCATGCATGCAGTGTGTCCAAGCTGTAATACGAAAGTGCTTGAAAGTCAGTTTTTCAAGGTAATTAAACCCAAATATAATTGACTTAGTGTGTCACTGCACAGTATTTCAACTCTTACGTGGCCAACCGTTTGTGGTAGTGTAATGTTGTTGCACTATATTATGAACAGAGCAATGTGCTTTGATCTATATAGATCAAAGCACAGACTTTTATTTTGAAGGATGCTGTAAGCATTTCCACCATCATGTTTTCAATGCGTTTTAAGTGTTTTTGTGATGTTATCGAGATGTTCCTTTACAAATGTGTACATGAGTATATTGTGTTTGATGCTAAGGTTAGATACCTTACTGTAAAAAGGGAAATGTTAGAGGTCTTTATTGGAAGTAGGTTACGTTTTGGACTACTTTTATTTATTTCCATGCATAAGTCTGATAGTTGGGGGAGAAGACTGCTGTCATGCTACTTTACTGTGTACTGTTGAGACTGTTTGCGAGCATAGAGCATTTTGTGACTCTGCTCATGATGCTACGTTTGAATCATACGTATTGAGTTGGTGTCAAGAATACTTGCTGGTTGTAAACATGTGAATCTTCCCCTTCTCTCTTACATCCATCCTATATGTTATGAATGCACAATCAGTGTCTCCCATAGAATTTACAATAAGACGGCGTCATGCATATAAAAATAGCTTCCCTAGACTCTAGCAAACCAAGTTATGGAATAATAGACCTTGTTCGCAGTTCAAAGTGTCCTATACTTAAAAATACTATTTTATAATGGCAGCCCTAACGCGAATGCATTCTGGACCATCTTACCCAGTTCGGTCTGTAGTATTCTCTTCTCTCTGTTTATTTAATGAAAACATGCTTTTGTATTAAGCTCAGTTTATGTAGTAACCCATCTGAAAAACATGAACTCATGGTTGTTTTGGGGATTGTGAATAAGATGAATCTCCCCGTCAACTATATATTGCAGAAAAGCAGAAACACTGCTGTTCAAATAGTAGCGTTATCTAAAGGCTTCACAGCACTTGTGGCTAAATCAGCTGTATCTATTAGTGAGGACAGGACAGGAGAGCAGTAGAGCAGAGAAAAGGACCTGTGCTTCAATATCACTGCTGTGCCCTGAAAATACTCAATACTAAAGCCTCAGTGGTCACTGGAGTGCAGTTGGGACACACACACACACAAACACACACTGTTGTGTCTCATATCCACATAGACAGATCCAATAAAGGAGAAATAGGGAGTAGACTCTGTCTATTGATTTAAGGTATTGGTGTTCTGTGTAGTTTTATTGGTCCGCAGTCTCACCCTTTGTTTTCCAATGGCGTTCCCTCTTTCTCTTTGTATTTTCTCTGCTGCTCTTGCTCTCTTTGTCCAGACTAGATAACGTCTTGCTTGTCATCACA